TTCTCAGACCAGGGTAATAAACGTTGAGTTCAGGCTACGACATTGAAGCATTCCCAAACACCTTTATTAGCTCCCTTTTAGTCACATCCCAACAATTCTTACAAAATGCTAGGGTGACCCATCAAGGCTAAGTGCCTTATCACTACCCAACTCCCACACTGCCCTTCTAATCTCTTACTCTCCAAAAGGTCTCTCCAACTACTCAGCTAGTTCACTACGTAAAAGCTCACCACTCAATGCCTTTGATGAAAGGTCTATTGGTGCACTCTTCCACGTACAAGTCTTGAAAAAACCAGGTAATCTCTTTACCAATTACCTTGTTTCTTCTCTCTATATATTCATTGTCGAGTTCTAGCCGTCTTACAACACTCTTCCTCCTTACCATTCACCACTTTATGGAAAAAACGAGTGTTCACGTCTCCTTCCTTTATCCATTTGAGTTTAGTCTTTTGTCTCCAACTTCTTTCCTCATTGACTAATACCATGCCAAGACCTTTCTTCAAAGCCAATAGTCTCCTTTGGACATCCAAATCCTGTTTATCCAAGACATTGATTTCCTACAAAGTCCTTGTCGTCTTTAGAAAAATGTCCCAAGTTCCTCCTTATTCCACTTTTTGGTTTTCTCTTTCAAGTTTTTTAGTTTGTGCACAAACCTAAAACCTTCCCAAACCTTAATCCTCCTTCCGACACCCACCTGCCTCTAACGAAGTTTTTTTTTTTTTTTTAAATAAAATGTGTGAAATTCTATTAACATGGTACCAAACAATCGGGGGTACTGCCCCTATACAAAAGCTTTATAATGTAGTTCTTCAAACTCAGATCAACCAGATGTTCTCAAACCTAAATGGAAGGGGGTCCCTAGTTGATGTGTTGAGATTCCAAGAAGATAGGGAAATTGTCAGAAATAGGTTGTGGGGAAAGCTTCGTATACCAACTCTGGTAAAGTGTCCTCCAATTGGGTAGTCAATAAATTAGCCCATACGTGATGACACAATGCTATATCTGTCCATTGACCAAGTAACTCGGAATTAGCTAGTGGCAGACATCTACGACCACTTTCTTCAATAAACTTGTTAAAGTTGGGAATTGACATGGTCATGCCTCCTCGTCCTCCCACTTTTTCCTAGGGAAATTGACAAGCATTGGCATCCCCTCCTAAACACCAAAGAGAGGTCATTTTCCTACCAGAAAAAAAACCTCCCTCTATAACTAGTAGGTCCATAGACATTTGTGAATCACCATCTTTTCCTTTAATATTCAAGAGGATTGAAAGTGAGAAGCGCCTCTTCACCATGTCTACTCTAGTGGCAAACCTAGAGTCCCACATGGTGAGAATCCCTTCCAACGACCTTATAGAAGGGATCATTGCTCATTCCCTGAATCTACTTTCCCAAACACTTCGAATGAGATATCTATCGACCCCTTCCTTTTTTTTTGTTTCCTAAATCATTTCCAACACTGGGTTAGCTCTACCTAAGCTCCCCATAATTTTCTTCCTTTTAAGCTTGTACCCTAACCCATTAATATTCCAAGACACTATCTTTATCTAGCACTTTCTACTTCCCTCTTTTGTTTGACTTCCCTGTTAAGAATGTTTAGGGCCACACTCCTAATCCTCCTCTCCATATATTTTTTCATTCAAACATAAGTTGTGGGACATGTGGCTATCTTGGTACTTATCATTAGTTGATTAATGACAAAGGCTTTCCCCTTAGTTATCCTTCCTCCAAGTGGCATATCATGGTTCTCAAGCTTTATATTATGACTAGGAGGTTGTAGAATACCTCTACCGGAGAGCATATTTTCTACCTGTGCCCTTGTCTCGTGGATAAAATCGAGAGGGTTAGATATACAAAGCTTGCTAAGAGGCTTACCAAGATGATTATAAGGTTGTTGTTAGGGTTCTGTGCGGGCTCTTTTTCCCATTCCGATCACTGACTTATGCTTAAACTGTCATCCTCCTTTTGCCTAATAGTCTCAACATGCTCCTCAACCCCTCTTGATCTCTTGTTCAGCCTTTGCCTTGTCGGTGAATAAAAACTGTAGCCCCTCCCACACTTCATTTAAATTCTCTTCACATGCTTTCTCTGAAACGATTGATTCTTCTCGTTCATCCTCCTCGAATTCAATCGAGCCAAAAGAGACTAAAGACTGTAGTCCTCGTCTTCATGGTGCAAATAGTGACCCTCGAGCTTCCTGCCCCAGGTTTGACTCTAGTTTAATAATCACTTCAATTCCTCAATTTGATTTTCCAACCACTTCCTTAATTCTCAACATCAGCGCTTTGTTGGGAGTAATCGACAATCTCTTTAACTATGTCCAACCAGAGAGAAATAAAATCATTTAGCTCCAGAGTTTCGACGCAATCGATAATTGATTTCAGCCCAACTTTTCCTTCCTGTGGTGGTGTGGCACCACTCTGTCCCTAAAAAACTGGCCTTTTTGTTGTTTCCCTCATGAAATTAGATAAATTTCGAGCCCTTGGTGACGACCCTGCCAAGAAGGAGAGATGTTGAACTCATTATCTCCATTAAATCAATGGTCTCCTAGTAAGCCTAACGGACATGACCTGGCTGGAACTTTGCTAGGCTAGGCTAGTTGGACTTGGGCCTGGATGTGATCCGAGCGGATTGGAGATGGCCTCCCTGTAATTGACCCGTAGGTCTGTTGCTGATCTGTCTTCACTATCCACCTAATTTTGCATGTCCCCAATGGATCAACTTTACACATAATTGATAGTTGTCAGTGCTTTTCTGATTTGCACCATCTCCTCTTCAAACAGAATTGGGCGGTTACAATGCTATAGCAGATTATGTGGCAAGATTCTCACAATTTTGAAAATCAACTTGTGGGTGCCATCACTTGCCCTTTATTATATGTCTTGGTCTTTGGCAACCCGACCTTCCTCCTGTCTAACAGCAGCTTCTTCCTTAAATTCATCCTTTGTGCACAACTAATCAAACTAGTTGGGTGAATTCTCCTTTCTCTTATGGATTTCCCTCACTCCACCCTAATTCCCAAGCTGAATCATCATTTTCCAACTTGTCCCTTCACTGCCCTCCAGAAAACATATAGAATTGCATAGTGCAGCCCCTTTGAAATAGATAACCTTTGGGAATCTTCCCTGCATTTTTGCTGAGTGCTGCCATGAGATAACCATTTTTGGTCCTACATACAGAACTATACATGACCCTCTCCTCCACTAAAGAGTTCAAACAATTTTGCAACCATTCAGCTTACCACATGGCATGTTGGATTACAAAAGATTGATTCTTTCACTTGTCTTGGATAAGCAAAACCCCTTTCACTTGTCCTGTATAAGCAATACACCCTCTTCCCCTAGAATCCCAACTTCCCTCGAAAGAGTAAAGGATCTCCTTTTCACTGCAAAACCACCGACGATCCCCCTTGACAGACAACCATTAAATTAACTATCATTATTTACTACCTTATAACTTTTTTTAGCTTATTTACATAGTTCTTAAGTTAGTTGAAACTTAGACTATTTGGTTAGATTTAAGGATTATAAGAATTAAAATCTTTTATATCTCCTCTTTTTATATTTTCTTATTAGTTCATTTTTTTTTAAAAGAACTATTATTAAAGTCAGAAAGAAAAAAGTACAATCTAGGAGAATGAGACATCCTCAAAAAAACTCAAACAAAACCAAAAAGAGAGATGCAAAGAAATGTAAACAAGCCAATATTTTAATTAGAAGAGATAAAAGCTTCCTAGTTATAATGAAGCTCAGAGATGCCAATGGTCGTTTACCAAAACGCCAAAGAAATGGTTCAAAATTCACACCATAGTTTACCAAGTTGACTTCAACTCTTCAAAGGATCCAAAATGTTTCAAGTGATTAGGCAAGGCATAATGATGCAAAATAGATAGATCAAATTCTCAAAGCTTCTATCTACCTTTCCCAAGTATGACAGCATACTGAAAATTAAAACACGTTCTACATTATTCCTAAGTTCCCATAAGGTTGATGCATGTTGGGGTGGATACAAGCACATAAACTTCAATATTGTTGGAAATCAACAACGAAAATGTAATCTAAAGCTATTAAACACCAAAGAGTCTTCTACAGGATGAATGGACTCATAGTCTAAAAGAAGCAGAAAGCAATAAGTTTAGGCCCAAGTAGTACAACATTGAACGGCTTAGCTAAGAAAATGAAACAAAAGTTTCCATCTTTTCACATTTGGACCTTGTAATAAGCTCAGAAGACTCGGCATCCCACTGAAGAACACAAAATTTGTATCTTTCAGTTGCAATGAATAAGAAATCTTGTACTTCACCCTGTGACAATATGATGAAGAGAATGGGATCAAAGCAAAATCCTTTCAACAAGAAAATAAGTATTACAAGAAAGAAAGCATGTACACAAGAGAGTCAAGAGAGAGAGAGAGAGACAGAGAAAGAAATGCAGTAAATTAGTAATAAAATAAATTATTATGCTTACATGAGGACGGAAAAGCTCCAATGTTGCAATTCTCCCATATATTGGCACATCCAACATAGGCTGCAAGGAAATGTTCAAAATATGTTTCACATATTTGGGTTTCACTTCTAAATGAGCCACATCTCAAAATTAAGAAAATCAAACTAGAGTTTAAAGACAAACGAATATACAAAGCAAACATTAAGGAAATTCTCTCTATTTGTTGTGTCAAAAGTAAATTGAGAATATCTGAAGCTCTATGCTAACATTCGTTTCAATTATCACCAAGAAAGAAACAACTATTTATAGAAGCACACTAAACAAAATCCCATAAGGTTGTCCCCAGGCATAGGAAGTGTATTAGTAAGTTTGGTATTTAGACTAGGAAAAGGTGATGCCAGGCTGGCGGAGGTTGAGTTGTAAGTTTGTTATTCAAACTAGCACTTATGAGTTAAGGTTATGAAGAGAGAATGCTTGGGCAAGAGGTGGAGATGGGAATGGCCACAAGACAGGTATGCCATGCCCAACGCTCAGCCCACTACAATTCAGCTTTTACCTTACACACCTCATTCTCATAGTTTTCTGAAATAAAAGAGAGAAATATTATTCACGAAGGTACCAAGGGGGTATCACCCATATACAAAATAGTTACATATCTATCAAGTGATCCATAACTAATCTAATGTCTTCCCAATCATGCACATCATGACCTAACAAGGTAGACCCAAAAGTATGAAACTATCTATTCTTAATGTTTACAATATTAGTTACAAGGCTATATATCTAGATTTTCCCATGAGTGATTCTTCTCACCCTCCATTCGCCTTATCATCTGCCTTACCTATCTTCCGCAATCCCAACCTATGTCCTGCTTGTTTTTCATTTTCAACCAAAATTCAACAATGCATAATATAGTGAATTTGAAAAACGAACCAAGGACTTTCATTGCAGAAACACTCATCATCATCCTTTCTCAAGATATGCCAAATTTCAAATATCAATTAGAAACATAAACTAATACAAATAGAAAAATATTTTAAAAATTGCAAAAAAAAAATCAATTTGTTTCAAATTGGTCAAGGAGGTATTTGCCAAAAAAATAAACAAATAACTACAAACTCAACCCAATTTCAAAGTGTGCTAAAACAGCTTCATATAGCTTTTTCAGATTTGTATTAGTTTTTGCTTTTGCTCGCTATGAAACCTTTTACAAGTAGGAGTAAACTAAGAAATAGCAAATATTCAGATTAAAACTAATAATTATAATATGAGGGAATACTTCGTATAGTACAATAGGAAATTATTATACAAATAGGGAAAACTAAATACCGAA